AAAAAAAAAAAAATATTGGGAACACTAAAACTGTTTTTCTTCTCTCAGCTCTGGATTCTCTGGAGTTTGAATATTTCCAGTAGTGGAATCCTCAGGAGGACTGATCAGGTCTTACATTTCTAAAGCCATGACCTGTGTAAGTTGATAGTTTCTTTTTCTTTGCAATACTATGATTTTAGGTTATGTGGGGTTTTTCATTAACCTAAAGCTTCCTATTTAAGAAGGGCTCATTCAGTTGTCTGCTACCCAGTTTCTTTTAATGCAGTTAATAGTGATAGCATATAACTCCATTTCCTCCCTGAGTGTTTGTGTATTTATTATCCAGTTTACTCAATACTTTATATGCTTATTTGTCAGCCAGCAGCTATGATAGAACAGTAAAAAAGTAGATTCTCATAGAGGAAATAGTTGAGCTTCCCATATAGATCCCTAGTTGGTGAATAGGGATCCTATCTGAGTGCCATAGATTACTTTTGTTGGCACCATAATCTAACCAACTGATCTAACCAGGCATCTCAACTAGATTACTTTTAAATTCTCCTCACACCTGAGTTTTCTAAGCTAATAAGATAGGATTTATCGATTGGTCTCAGTCTTACTGTCTGATAAGATCTCATGCTTTTTGAGGATTTTAGAATGATTAGGAACGTATCATAGATCTTGAGAGATAAGTATATATTTTATGGTTGAATGTGTTGAACCAAGTTCTGTTGAACTTGGGTGACGCCTTTTTGATTGAGTCATCTTAATTCAGTATACATACAGGAAGAACAAAAGTTTTGAGAAAATAAAGTATTGAGTGAGTGACAGAAGATGGCAATGAATGAAAATATTATCCTAATGAGTATATGTGTTGATTTCTCATTGTGTTGAATTGGGAAAAACTTTTTCAATTTTATCCAACCAAGTACCTGAAGGTAAAGGATGGATTAAGTCTGAGATGATTGTTAGGCAACCAATACAAAATGTATTTGTTGAAACAAAAATGCATGTGATATGCTCTGATGTAATGATGAACTTGAGGCTTGCAGAAATATCTAAAGTTTTTAGCCAGGCGTTGTGGCGGGCACCTGTAGTCCCAGCTACTTGGGAGGCTGAGGCAAGAGAATCACTTAAGCCCGAGTTGGAGGTTGCTGTGAGCTATGACGCCACAGCACTGCTACTGAGGAGAATATAGCGAAACTCTGTCTCAAAAAAAGAAAAAAAAATTCTGAAGTTTTCACAAACCTTTTTCTATATTATATTATTATGTTATTTATTTTTTGAGACAGAGTCTCAGTCTGTCACCCTGGGTAGAGTGCTGTGGTGTCATAGCTCCAGGCAACCTCAAACTCTTGGGCTTGAGCAATCCTTTTGCTTTCACCTCCCCAGTAGCTGAGACTACAGGCACTGGCCACCGCACCTGGCTAATTCTATTTTTATTTCTATTTTTATTTTTAATTTTTTTGAGACAAAGTCTCACTTTGTTGTCATTGGTAGAGTGCCATGGTGTCATAGCTCACAACAACCTCAAACTCTTGGGCTCAAGCAATCCTCTTGCCATAGACTCCTGAGAAGCTGGCACTACAGGCAACCACTACAACAGTCGACTGTTTTTAGAGACAAGGTTTCACTCTTGCTCAAGCTGGTCTTGAACTCCTGAGCTGAAGTGATCCACCCACCAGGGCTTTCCAGAGCGCTAGGATTACAGGCATGAGCCATCACACCTGGCCACAAACCTTCTTTTTTTTGCAGTTTTTGGCTGGGGCTGGGCTTGAACCTGCCACCTCCAGTATATGGGGCCAGCGCCCCACTCCTTGAGCCACAGGCACCACACGCCACAAACCTTTTTTTATATGGAAATTTTTATGTTGAATTTGGGAAGGACATCCTGTCTCTCTTTTTAAAAAACTGTTAAAAGGAAAATAGCAGCTCACATCTTTGGGAATTTAAGCATCATGCAACAAGTTCAGTATGTGTTAATACTTTATTAAATACAAAAGCTTGAATTTTATTGCTCACATATCTGAACCATAGTAGTAATCCCCGTCAAATAGAAAGATTTTTCTGTAGCAACAGGATTCTTAGGAACATATGTGCTTTATTCTGTCTCCTGGTCATTAGTCACTCTTAATATATTACTCCCTTTCTCTAATGTGCTCTTCTGATCTCCTGTCTTTCAGTCTTTAACATGATATTTTAAATTTCATAATACATGCATTTACAATTTCAGGAATTAGTGACATTCACAGATGTGGCCATAGACTTCTCTCAGCAGGAGTGGGAATACCTGGACCCTAATCAGAGAAATTTGTACAGGGATGTGATGTTGGAAAACTATAGGAACCTGGTCTCACTGGGTAAGTTTATTTGCCTCAAATAATTTAAAATGTGATGTATGATATATTGTCTTTCAACGCAGTGAATTTCAAGGCTGTATTTTAAGACTTCCCATTCCTAAAGGAAGTTGTGAGCCCTGCCAGTATGACAATGGCCTTGCCATTAAGTACCATCATTTTCTTCATCCTTTAGTGATGTCTCCCTCTGGATCTTTTTAAAATTGTTTCCTTCCTTAATATTCAAGAAGCTTCATTAAAATGATTTGTTTATTTATTTATTTATTTTTTATTGAATGGTAACTATGTACATTAATGCACTTCTGGGGTACAGTGTGGGGTTTTCACATGCAATCCAAAATACTTCCATCAAACTGGTATTTATTTATTTTTTGAGACAGAATCTCACTATGTTGCCCTTGGTAGAGTGCAGTGGTGTCATAGCTCACAGCAATCTCAAACTCTTGGGCTTAAGCGATTCTCTTGCCTCAGCCTTCCAAGTACCTGGGATTATAGGCGCCTGCCCAGCTATTTTTTTGTTGCAGTTGTCATTGTTTTAGCTGGCCCAGGCCAGGTTCGAATCCGTCACCCTTAGTGCATGTGGCTGGCACTATAACCACTGTGCTACAGGTGCCGAGCCGATATATATTTAGTGAATAATCATCATATAGGAAGCCTGGTTTCCCTTTGTGTTTATTCCCAGAATTCCTATAGATATGCAATGTCATCATCTGATCCACCTGGAAGGACAAAAGGTAGATGTAGATTCTTCATTTGTTCTGAGGATGAGAAGAATTCTATGACCTATAGTGGTGGATTGGATGAACAGTATTCATTTAAAACTGAAGGGTCTACATTTAATTTCCTATAGCCAATTTGTATGACTCATGGTTGAAAGTTATAATTCATGAACTTTGCGTTTAATATTAAGTGCAGATTTTGTAAATCAGTTAAGATGTTTTGTGTTTTCCTCTTATAAAATAATTATAATTGGTACAATTGTATTCATCATGTCCCTGGCACACTTCTTGAAAAATATATTTATAAGGTGGCCAGAAAGTTCATGTGCAGTTTAAAATAGTTGTCTATTTTATGGCCACCCTGTGTGTATATGTGTGTGTGTAAAATGACTTAATCATCAAACAACTATGTGATAGTGATATTTTTATGCCAGGTTTATTTGCCAACACCATCGAATAGTAAATTTAAGTGACATGGCCACAGTCATGAGGTTGGTAGGTTTAAGAGGAAAAATTTGTATGCCAGCTTTGTGGCTCCAGAGACTTCCACAGACATTGTTAAACATTCTATTAAGAGACAAAGCCTACAGAGGTTTAAATTAAAATAAAACTTTTCATACCCGCCTCATTTCTTAAATCATCTCATCCTTCTTTTATTTGAAATCTTTAGTTCATTGCAGATTTAACCAAAGGTTTCTTTGACTTTTGTGTTTCTTTTTATACCATGTGGCATTTCTTCTTATAAGCAGGACATTCCATTTCTAAACCAGATGTGGTTGACTTATTGGAGCAAGGCAAAGAACCCTGGATGATTTTGAGGGATGAAACACAGTACACAGGTAAGGAAGGCAAGGGAAGCAATCAGGGCTGGTAATGGCCTATGTGGTAAGAGACAGGCGATGATGCTTCTCTGTTGCTGCTCCTGAGCTCGTCCTCCAAGGCACCAGGACTTGTGGAGCACAGGCCTATGCCATGGAGAAGAAATAAAGATCTCACTGTGAGCTATGGAAGAAACTTGAACTCTGCTCCTTTTACCAATCACCTTATTTCTCTTATATTTCAAACCCATTTTTCAGTGATGGGACCCTCTATTTTCTTTTTATTTCTACTTTGGATTCAACTGTTTTTCCAGCTGTCCTTTCCCTTGTATAAACACACACTTGTCGATATAATGAACAAAACTTATAAGTCCCTGTCTTTGTGGAATTTACATTGTAGTAGAGCAAGAAGACATAAAAATAAACAGATAGGGGAGGGTGGGGGGAGGGAGGGTGATTGGTGGGATCACGCCTATGGTTCATCCTATAAGGGCACATGTAAATCTCTCTAAATGTAGAATATAAATGTCTTAACACAATAACTAAGAAAAAGACATGAAGGCTATGTTAACCAGCCGGATGAAAGTATTTCAAATTGCATATAGAAACAGTACACTGTACCTCATGGTAGTATTAATGTTTAAACAGGTAAACAATATTAGGCAGTGGAATGACCCATGATAAAAAGTATTTCAAATTGCATATAGAAACAGTACACTGTACCCCATGGTAGTATTAATGTTTAAACAGGTAAACAATTAATATTAGGCAGTGGAATGACCCATGATAAAAAGTAAGCAGAGGCCAAGCATGATGGCTCACGCCTATAATCCTAGCAATCTGGGAGTCTGAAGGGGGTCAATCCCTTGAGCTCAGAAGTTCCAGACCAACTTGAGCAAGAGTGGGACCCCGTCTGTACTAAAATAGGAAAAGAAAAAGAAAAAACCAATCCTGATGTCATGGCAGGAGCCTGTAGTCCCAGCTACTCGGGAGGCTGACTCAGGAGGATCACTTGAGCCCAAAAGTTTGAGGCTGCTGTGAGCTATGACACCACAGCACTGTAGCCGGGGCAACAGAGTGAAACTCTGTCTCCATAAACAAACAAACAAAAAAAGTAAGCAGAGGTCAGTCCATCTTAGATAAGATGGTTAGGGAGACTTCTCTGGGGTGGTAATATTTGAGAAGAGACATATGGCTATGTATTTGTGAAAGAAAATACTCCAGGCTGATTAAGAGCTTGAAAGACTCAGCAGACAATTAGGGCAGTAGAGAGGAAGAGTGTAGGGAGTAAAGGGAGGAGGAGATTGGGGAGAACTTCGTGAGTTTGTGCAGCACCAAAGTAGACCATGACAGAGATCCTATGAGGAGAGTGACAAGAAATGAGGTCACACTATTTTTTTTTTTTTTTGAGACAGAGCCTCAAGCTGTCCCCCTGGGTAGAGTGCCGTGGCATTACAGCTCACAGCAACCTCCAACTCCTGGG